AGCACCGTGAGATATTTTACAATTACCCTGAAAAGGCATATGGAGCCTTCGTTTCTTGTTGTATCTGAAAGGTAGCATATTTGACAATGTAGGGTTCTTTCTGTACTGTGCTGCAGTGTCAGTTTTTTTTTGTGTCAAGCCCTGCAGTGAGAAAAGAACACAAAACCTCTTGACTCAAAGGCAAGAGTGCTATAACTGAAGGCAAATAAGCAAATTGTAATTGTAAACAGACATGGATAAATTGGTACAAGGAAAGTAGGTAATTGTTTGGACCAACATTTATATATCAACAAAGGGGAAAAGCTCATATCTACTATTAGTTTTGTGTATAACATCTCTACTTTGCAAGTGTACCTCATATTCTAAGATGACAGTTGCATTGAAGCCTTTTTTTCACACTTTAGTTATTTAACAAAATAATTAATCATGCTAATTTGTTGCATTAGAAAGATTTGAGGACTGACAATGAATTCACAACCTCTTCAAATCGGTCCATTCCCATCCCTTTTTTTAAAATAAAAGATTATCAGGACAAGGTTGATGTCAAAAGGTTGCATTTATTGGGCGTGTTCCATACAACTGAATGGTGGGCAAAGCCAATTCAGGAGAATATATAATCCACCATGAAACTTAAAGACGTATAGGTCAAGTGAAGCAGATAATCATTCTCATAAAATGTCATTTATCTGAACCATAAATCTTTTTCTCTCTCTACAGATTCTGTATGACCTACTGAGTATTTGTATAATTTTCTGGTTTTTAAGCCAGATTTCCAGATTTTATTTTAGTATTGGAGTGGTTGATTGATATCTGTCTAAAACGGTTAATGAGCCATCAATTAGGTTGTTATTACAAGTTAGCAACTTTCATAGCTTTTTTTACTGCTAAACATAAACTAAATTCAATTTCTCACTTATCACTTAAAACTTATGATAGAGGGTTACAAGACGAGAGCAATCAGTTTGATCCAGGACCAGCCACATAATGAAGTTTTTTTTACAAATTCTTTTAATAACCGTGTTGTTACTTCAAAGTGCCAATTACAAATGCTTAAAATGTTTGTACAAAACTGGAAAAAACAGATTTACAGAAAATAATTAAATTTATTCGTAATATTGTTGCAGGAAATATGTACATGTCCTTGCTCTCTTCTCAGGTTCCCCTCTGACCTCTTTTCCTCTTAAATTGATGACTATCACTCACCCTAATTTAGAATATTTATTTCATTGTTTCAAATTTTCAATTACTTTACCTGTATACTCTCCATTTTTGATCTTCCTTTCCTGGACTGCTTGCTACCTCCAGAAATATGCAACAATGAAAGCCCACTAAATCCTACCTCTATCCAGATCACCCTTCTGCTCATTTCGCAACTCTATTTCCCTTTCAAAGTTTTATCAAAAATCTGTAGTTCAGGTTGTGGGGGAGGTCGCTGACTTGCTTGCCGAGCTGGCTTGTTCTCGTTCAGACGTTTCATCACCATGCTAGGTGACATCATCAGTGGAGCCTCCGATGAAGCTTCATTGGAGGCTCCACTGACAGTGTCACCTAGCATGGTGACGAAACGTCTAAACAAGAACAAGCCAGCTCAGCGAGCAGGTCAACAATCTCTATTTCCCCTTCTCCAGTTTCTCTGTCCCACTTGCTCCAGTTAATTTACCATTTCACACCAATGATTCAGAAATAAAATCCCATTTCCTCAGTTGAGGATTCTCAACCCCTTCTACCATGGTAGTCAGGATCCTCAACCAAGTCTGTTTATGTTCCCAGTCCCCTCCCACTACACAGAATCATGATGGGACCTTTTAAGCCTAATTTTCAACTGTGCCAATTCCTGCTTTCAATGGGTGACCTTAATCTACACCCCTTCCAGTAATCTCTCACGTAACATATCTTCCCTTCCTTTCCTTTTTCTGAATGGATCATTACCCAATAACACTGCTTTATTCTTTAACATTCCTATCACCTACAATACTTCTCTAGTACTTTTCATTCTCACACCACCAAAAGATATAGCAGCTGAAGTAGGCCATTTAGCCTATCAAGTCTTTTCCACAATTCACATCAAGACTGCTCTACCATTCAATGAGATTACAGCTCCAAATACTCCTTTTAGTTTATGTGTACTTTGTCCAACCTAGAACGGTACAGTTGCCTGTCCACAGATTAAGGGATACCTCCATATTGTATGCATATGCAAATCTCATATGCTTGCCAATTCAGTATCTTTCTTCCACCCTGCCCTCTCTGCTTCAGTTGAATAAGCCAACATAAATTCAAGAAACAGTCTGTAATATGGACTTTAATAATTTCTAACTTAAGCTCCCATTTATTCAGCAGGAACTGCCAACAACGTGGGATGGGTATACCAACAATTTAGGGGATTGGGGAAAAAATGTGGTTTGTATTTGTGACTAGAAACCTCTAATGGAATGCATTTCTGGCTTGAAGCCTACAAAGTTTTCTGTGTTTCCATTTCTATTTGCCTCAGCCTCCACTCAATCACACAATCTATAATAAAAAGAGAATACAAGAAATAATCAGCTCTTTCAGCATCTGTGAAGATGTTTTCTTAACAAAGTTATTTGACATATTTGTATTGATGCCTAATTGTTTTAAAACTTGGATTATTGTTTACCAACCATATTCTGGAAGCATAAAAATTTTTATCGTTGCAGTGGGGAATTCATAATTCAATAGCAAATCAAATAAGCATAACTAATTTGATTTGTTGGAATTAAGTAATTTGCTCGTGATACTAGTGTGAGGACATGAATTATTTATGTTAGTTCAGAATTTTATTTCATAATGTTCGTTTCTTACAGTTGAACTTGATCGAAGAATTACATCAATGCATTAAAAATATGAGATCCTTCTTATCAAATTGAAATAAATCATTGCCAGTAGTTCTATCCAAAATCATAAATGGAACCATTTTTATTAAGCTTGAAATAATATGCAAGCATATTTAACACTAACAGCTTGCATTTCCATAGTCTTTAGCACAATAAGACATCTCAAAGTGTTTCTCAAGTAATACCAAATAAAACCAGACACTAAACTGTAGAGAGATATGAGGGCAAATAATGAAGCTTGGGCAAAAAGGTATTTTTAAAAATCATCCTATACAAGAGAACTAGCGAGGCTGACAGCTTACGGAAGAAATTCCAGAACTTGGGTCTAGACAATTGAATGCAAGGCTGATAATTGTGAAATGATCCAAATTAATGATGCACACAAACAGAACTGGAGATGCGCACTCGTGAAGTTTGAAAGGCCAGAAGAGATTACAGGGACGAGGGGCAAGCCACAGAGCTATTTGAAAACAAGATGTGAATTTTAAATAGGCCTTGCTAGATCAGGAGACAAGTCAATACACAAAGTGATGGGTCAAGAGGACTTGTTAGGAGTTAGTTTACAAACAGCAGGATTTTGGATAAGATCCCATTTATGGTCTTCCATCTGGAATGCATCAATCAAGAAAGCATTTAATAGTCAAATCTAAGATTAAAGTACAGATCAACATTTGAGCAGATGAGCCGAGGGATGCATAGAAATAGGCAACATTACATTTCCATTCAACTTTCCACAAATATATATTCACTGCCGAAATCTACTGAAAGCCCAAGCTATAATCTGCTGAATGCAACTACTCAGTTACACACCCAGTGGCAGTGACAATCTAACAGCTAGACTAACTTTTTTATTTAATACAGTTCTGGCATGACTGTAATAGATTATATTGTGGGGGAGGGAACAAAAATTCCAAAAACAAGGTTAAGAAATCTTGAAGGACATGAATTTATTTCTCTCCAGAAACATTGACAAACGCCAAACACAATTTTCTGATATTTTATTCCTTTCCAATTCAAGTCCTTATGATCGCAATTGTCTCATGGAGCTTGCAAGGGGGAAATTTTTTATTCACTCATGGGATGTGGGTATCACTGGCTGGACAGCATTTATTGCCCATCCCTAGTTGCTTTTGATAAGGTGGTGATGAGCTGCCTTTTTGAACCGCTGCAGTCCACATGCTGTAGGTTGAAACACTGCCCTTGGAGGAATTACAGGATTTTGATCCAGCAACAGTAAAGGAATGGCAATATAGTTCCAAGTCAGGATGGTAAGTAGCTTGGAGGGGAACTTGCAGCTGGTGGTGTTCCCATGTATCTGCTGCCCTTGTCTTCTAGATGGAAGTGTTTGTAGATTTGGAAGCTGCTGTCTAAGAATCTTTGGTAAATTTCTGCAGCACATCTTGTAGATAGTATACACTGCTGCTACCGAGTGTCAGTGGTGGAGGGAGTGGATGCTTGCAGATGTGATGTCAATTAAATGGCTGCTTTGTCCTGGATATACAGTGAATAACAGTATGCCCACAACAGTTAAATACCACTCAGGGAAATAAGGCATCAAGATAAGGTCTAGGATAACACAGTGTGGAGCTGGAGGAACACAGCAGGCCAGGCAGCATCAGAGGAGCAAAAAAGCTGATGTTTCAGGTCAGGACCCTTCTTCAGAAATGGGGGAGGGGGAAGGGAGCACTGAAATAAATAGAGAGGAGGAGTGGGGCTGGGGAAGGTAGGTGGGATAAGTGAGTGCAAGTAGGCAGCGGTGGGGGTTGGTCAGTGAGGTGGGAGGAGCGGATAGGCAGGAGAGCAGATGGACAGGTTTTGTCAGGTCAAGGAGGCGGGGATGACGGGGAGGGTTGGTCATGGGATGAGGCTGGGGGTAGGGAAATTTTGAAACTAGTAAAGTCCACATTGAGACCATTCTACATTGCTAGAACTCAGCTGAAATACTACACCTGGCAGTAGGGGTGAGAGTAAAATTTCTGCTTCATGTGAATGCATAAAAAGTGATAGAATTAGATTTGATTACGATTCTTTCACCCAGTTTAAGATCCTGCTGGTAGTGAGAAATTAGTGCTTTTGGAACCATTCCTCAGCACGAAAGGTGAAAAATAATGAAGGTGTATGAAGTGGAATGAAGACGATATAGAAGACAACTTAAAGGTACGTTTACTGCGGAACAATTTTTATTCTGTTTAAAACAATCCTTTAATAGTGTCTCACAAAAAAAGCTTCAACAAAGTCTTATTCATTCTGAACAGACAAAAGTTATGTTCTACTGCCTTATTCACATATATGACTGGATTATTGCTCAGTTTATTGAAATTAGATCGAATTGACCAAATTAGACTCTATGTAAAATTAAAATACAGTGATCCAAATTGAAGAGTTTGACCCAAAATGCATCATTTTGCACTTCAAGATTGAACAGCCCTCAAAAAAAAGTGTAGGATGTTTTTACAAAATGTTATATTAATATCTCCATTGAGAGAACATGGTTTCGCTGCAGATAATTTACACTGGCATTTTTCTTTAGAGAAATTTGTTGCAGAACACCCTTAAAAAAAGTTTAGTAAATTGCCTTCTTGTGCAGTGTAATTAAGAATGGTGAGCACTAATAGTCCCTAAGGATAGATAACAGGGATTTCTTGAAGAGGAAAAAAAAATCTTCAGTATACCTGCTTGGCAAGTTACTCAATACCCATCAATCTACAGCTGTCTAACTTCAGCTATCGTTCATAATATTTAATCATTATAATCAGATCAACTCAAAAAGCACAAAGTAAATCTATACCTTTAGGCTTCTTTACAAACTGCAAGATGTTAATGACTTCTGAATTAAGGTCAGATCAAAAATAAAGTACATAAATTGAAAAAGCTTCCTTTTGCTTTAAATTAAATTACATAATATATTAATAATCTCACAATCTTTTTGTCAAAGTGTGATTGTTCACAGCAATCACAGAATTCCATCTGATGCTGGCCTTACAAAAAGAATAGATGTTAGCCGTTAAGTCATTCAGAAAGAACTAAAACATGTTCATTAGAAATAAAATCTCTTACAAATCAAGGATAACTTATTGCAGAATGGAAGAACCGAGTGCTACAGATAGAAATAAATTGCAACGGCCACTGACACAAGTGAAGCAACATCTGGAGACATAAGTGGGATATACAGTTTAATACAGTTTAATATTTGAGTATGTGATTCATGGTGAAGCATAGCTCATCTTTTATTCTGGAATTTTCTATGCTGCTTACCATTCTTTTATCTTACATGTGTTCTTGTTCTTATTGTTCTTGTCAACAGTTAATTTGCTAGACACAGTAGGGAAAAATGTGGATTTAAATGTCACAAAATCTAACTGTAAAAGTCAGTGCATACACAGACATGGTTTGTCGGCTTTCAATAATACTTTACTTTCTAGATTTTAAAGTTAAAAGCTTATAAATTAGTTAACTTGATGAACCCTCATTCTTTCAATTAACTGCAAAGATCAGTTCAGTAATTTTCTTTATATATCTACGTTTTGATTCTTTTCACATGGGGTTCTAACATTAAGCAATCTCTACCTTTTTCCAAATGTGAACATTAATAACTTACAGTCAGGTATTTCACTTTAAATGCAGGCTCCACTACCATTAAGTGTTCCATTAACTACCATGACTGTCTCATTAGCCAAATTATCCAACTTATAAATGAAATTTGCAATTAATGTTGAATTGTGGACATTTTTTCCATGCACTTGAATTTAAACTGCCCAAATTTATTTCAGTTAGATCTCTAACAGCTGTGAGAGATTAGTACATCTTTAATTTGGTGATTGTACTGCTGAAAATTCCAAATGAATACAATGTTCTCACCCAATTTATCACTGGTCAGCAATAAAGGTGCAAAAACACGATTTAAATAGACTTTTAGATTCTACAATGTTTCAGGTATGCATTCTGAGCAGATCTGAAAGTTTGCTATTTTCACTTAAATCATACTGCCTATAATCAAAATAGTATCTAAATGCTGGATTTGTAGATCTATGAACTATCTTGTGAATGTGAAGAAAACTGAAAAGCATTAAGATAGATAACTTTAATGCTAATGTCCATTGGCCATAAATTATTGTGGATTAATCATTGTGCTCAGGTAGTTTGAGATGTCCTGCACATTTGACATGTTTTGCAAAACCTTTTCAACTGCATAGCTCATACACTTAAGCTATAATACCAGCAAATATAAATCAATAATGTTGTATTAAATAATTTTTCTGCACAGTGCAGAATATAGCCAACTGCCAAAAAAAACTGGCAATTCTTGAATATAGAATCATAGATAACAGAAATATGGTAGTAGCATTGAAAATAAGCAAATATACACACACACCTCCCAGGAGGTTTTGTTTTTGTTTTTTTTCCTCTTTCAAAAATGAGAAAGCTCAACTATTTGCTCCGTTTTCCTCTTCCTCTCCTGGAGGTCTGTTTGGTTATGGCTCCAGGTGACGATGCAGCAGATGCCACCGCAATATTTATCTGTCCCTCTTGAATCTCCTGTCGGGTATCGGCTGGCATTTGATTGATTTTCTGCTGAGTCTCCAGGTAGAACATGACATCTCGCAGCTGCTCCTGCACCTCTGTAATCTGCCTGTCTTTCTCATCACATGTGTCCTTCAGCTTCTTTTCCTCTTCTTTCAGTTTGGTTTGTAGCTGGATCTGATTAGCTCGCAAGCATTTGTTCATTTCTTGTTCCTCTTTCAGTTCAGTGCCTAATTTCAAAACTCTGTTGTTCAGTTGAGAACACCTAACAGGATGGCATGAAAGGAGATACATTAAAAAAATTCAGGAATATTCATTTGAAATTTTCAGAGAGCTCAGTGCTCGTGTTTTTATTGTGGTTCTCAACTGTGCAATACATTTCTATCTCCAGTTTCATGTGCATCTCTGTCATAGAAAAAAATGTCATTGATTTTGTTCTAATGATATTCTCCATCAATCTTATTTAAGCGTAATTCCCCATGGTAAATCCTTCCCTTGTATTGATGCTAAATAAACAAAATGCTAGCAAATATATCTTTTGAGCAACAAATTACTGCTCATAAAGTTTATTACATATTTCTAGTCAGATTAGTGGGATATGCAACATCGATGCACAATAGACTTACAACATGCAGCAACAGGAGCACTTTATGATTTGAATACAAATTAGAACAGCCTTAAAGAATACAACTATTTTAGCCATATTGACTATATTTTAGATCAAATCCTTTAAATTCAGTACTACAGTTTGTTAATTCTACTCCACAGTTACATATATTTGACAAGTCTGCACATTTTAAAGTCAAAATGGTATATATGGTAAAGTTTCAGAGGCTAAATAGAATTTTAAACTCTTGAACAGTTGATGACTAGCACTGTATTTCTGCGAAATAAACAATTTCAGAAGTACTACAAAAAAAAATCTTTGCCTTAGATGATCAATAGGCTGACAGGTTGCAGTTACACAACTCACTTTACACCAGTGCAATGTCAACAAAAGTTTCTCAATTACTTTTGACTTTTACTATATGTACATTCAACCTGAATGGTTTTAAGAAAAAAATGCAAATTTTTACAACTAAAATCATAGAAACATAACTTTCATCATAGGAAAAAAATTGTAGAAAGGAGGGGTGAAATCAAATAAACACACAAATATACAAAAGGCTCACAAACACTACCAACTAGAACCCAAAAAGAAACATTCATCAAAATGTCTAGGGCTATGCTAGTCCAAATACTTCAGCATAAAACAAACATTCATATTTTAGGACTTGGAAACTTTAGTTGTTGTTGTTTGTACAAATATCTGACATTTTTACCACAGTGCAAATGTTTGAATGAGAAACTGCTCATCAAGCAATTCAGTATTTTTTGAAATAAAGGACATGCAAGTCTATGAGAATATTAATTTCCAAGTCAAAATAGATTTTCAATTTTATAAACACAAGCTGGAGTTTACAGAAATTTAAGCAGAATTTTATAAACCATGCTTGGAAAGAAAATCAGAAGGAGAGTTCACAACGTACAATCTAGCACAGCTTTCATCACAAGCTGTAAGAAGATCCATATTTCCTAAATCTCCTAAAACAATACATAGCACACATTCCTGTTGAAACTGGCACCATCAAATTCAACTTGAATCTTTAAAATGAAACAATTCCTAAAATCGGATCCCATTCAGTATTTGCAGAGTACAAAAGGCTCCACACAGAGCAGCAAGTAAAGTCTCACTAATAATAGGTAGAATTACATCCTGACCTACACCATTATTCCTAATTTAACTTTTACAATATCTTAAAGAATAATCTGAACCAATGGCTTATGATGCCATGTGTCAGCATGGCAATTTATTTATCCTTGGAACTGGTGAAAATCACAAACAGCCTAGTTGTGAAGAATTGGACAGCAAATGTGGAAGAATTTAGTTTAAGAAATAAAAAACAAAATATTTCAATTTATATCACACTTCCCATCACCAGACATCTCAAAATGTTTTCAAAGCCAATTAAGGAAATGCAACAAGAAATTTGCACACAGCAAACTCCCGCAATGTGACAACAGCCAGATCATCTGCTTCAATGATGTTGATCAAGTGATAAATAGCAGAATAACACACCCTGCTCTTCTTCAAGAAATTGCCACAGGATCTTTTATCTAAGGCAGGTAGGCTTAGTTCAATGTCTTGTCCAAAAGGCGGCAGCTCTGAGCATCCAGCACTCCCTCAATAGTGGCACCAGACTACCAGCCTCAACTTCTGACCTTGCAATACATAGTCATCAGTGCTATCAACTGAGCCACTGCCAACGCACAAACAAAAAAAAAGGGTAAAACCAAAACAGAAAGCGTTGGCACCCGCAACTTGGGAACGCAAGAAGGGAAAGAAATTAGTACATATTTCCTTTCTTTATTGATCCTTTCTTACATAGCTTGCTGAATATTCATGTGTAGACATCAGATAAAGACAGGATCAATTATAACATCCCTATCAAATAAACAATCTGCTCAATCAGCTCAGTTCATAAAGGAAAAACACCTACCTGGGTGCATTGGGAAAGATAAAAAGCAAAGGAGGAAAGAAATTTGACAAACAGGAAGTAGAAGCACCACCTTTAGAGTGCACCACTTAAACTGGTGGTCACTTCTGTGTAATTTGAGTTTGGCAAAACTTTTGTTGCAAAATTACTTACTTTCTCTCGAGAGCTTGTTTGTCTTTCATTAACTCATTCAACTTCTGCTCTAGACTGTCGCACTTTTCAATGGTTTCCTTGAATTTTATTTTCATATTATTGATCTGGAAAGATGAAATAGGACAGGATCAAGTTTGGAAAAATAATTAAAGGAGATACAGGTGCAGTGGGCCAACAATCCAGAAGCCCAGCTAATGCCTTGGAATCACAGGTTCAAATCCAATTATGACAGCTGACAGTATTTATATCCAAGAAATTAACAAATTCTGGAACTGAAAGCCAGTCTTGGTGACGGTACTACAAAAACTGTCATCAATTGCCATAAAAATCTACATGGTTTATGAATGTACTTTAGGGAAGGAAATCTGCAGTTCGTACCTAATCCAAGTTACAAATGCCTCTAGACCCACTGTACAGATTCTTAAATGCCCTCTAAAATGGCTTAGCAAATCATTCAGTTGTAGCAAACCACTGACACTAAAAGGTGTACCTGCATTAGATGGACTGCAATGGTTCCATAAGGTGGCTCATAACCTCCTTCTCCAGGGCATTTGGGGATGGGCAACAAATGTTAGCCTTGTCAGCAACACCCATACCCCACGAAGTATAAAATGTAACTTAGACAACAATTTCACATTTTCAGCAGAAACTACTTTATTAGTTCTGAAATCTAGTTGCACTGCATTTGGACCATAAGACATGATGTGGAAGTGCCCATGTTGGACTCGTGTGGACAAAGTCAGAAATCACATTACACCAGGTTATAGTTCAATAGGTTTATTTGAAATCACAAGAGGGAACATTCCTGTCTGGCAATTATTGCGCGGTGTCCATTCATCCATTGTCATAGTGTCTGCATAGTCTCACCAATATACCATGCCTGATGCATCCTTGCCCACTGGGTATGAGATAGACAACATTGGCCGAGTCACATGAGTATCTGGTGTTCCCATGTGTGATGGTAGGATCTGCACAGGTTGCCATGCCAGGGTTGTATAGTGTTGCGATTGATGTTGTCTTGAAGGCTGGGTAGTTTGCTGTGAATGATGGTCTGTTTAAGGTTTGGCGGTTGTTTTAAGGTGAGAAGCGGAGGCGTAGGGATGTTCTTGGTGAGATGCTCATAGTCATTGATGACATACTGAAGGCTGCAGAGAACATGGCATAGTCTCTCCACTCCAGGAAATTACTGGATGAAAAAGGGTATCCTATTGGTTGTATCCCGTGTGTCTCTTCTGAGAAGCGGACTTTGAAATACACAATAACAGAGAATAGCCGAGCAGAAACTGATAGCCAAGTTCTGTACCCATGAAGATGGTCTCAACCATGATCTTGGGTTCATGTCGTGCTGGATGTGCCCCCACCACACTGACCTGTTTTTACACCATCACCTTGATAAATTGTTATGATCTCTCTACCTTAATTAGCTTGCACAGTTTTGGATTACTTATTACTTTGGTTAGACCATCAGCATGTAAACTCTTATACCTATCATGTTATTCCAGTCATTTAGTTTGTCTCCAGCACCATCTTATATTTAATTTTTTGTAATTATCTATCGGCTTCATTTAATCGGATTATAGCTCATCCCTTCACATGTTATTCAGCGGTTGACACTTGACTCATACCATCTATCACTCTTGGTCACGTGCAGAGACTTATTATTCAACGCTTCACTGACAGTAGTTGTACGATCTTTTGATCGGTCTGCTGTTGATCTCTCTGCCTATAAATTCTGTTACAAGGTGCCCTCAACATAGCCAGAGAGGTTCTCACACAGGGTCCCATTGCCTGATACGATGGGATGTCCAGGTGTGTTGGCTTTGTGTATCTTTGAAAGGCAGTAGAAGTCTTGTAAGTTAGAAGTAAGCAGGGTGAGAGTGGGTAGGATACTGTGAAGGTCTGGATCAAAGATCTTGATGGGTCTGTTGAGTTGACAGGCGTGTTCTTTAGCCGGATCAGCAGGTAGTTGTCTGTAGCGTTCCTGGTTGTTCAGTTGTCAGGACACTTTTATGCAGTAGTCCATTCTACTCTGTATGAAGATGGCTCTTCCTTTATCTGCTAGTTTGATGATGATGTTGCAGTTGGTCTTGAGAGCATAGATGGTTCTGTGTTGCGCTTGGGTGACATTCTGCGCTATCTTGTGAGTGTTGTTGATGAATCTGGCATTAATGCATCTCCTGACAGCTTGAGCATATATGTCGAGCCTAGGGCAATGGCCTTCCAGAAAGGTCCAATTCAACTCTTTCTTCTTTGGTTGCTGCACTGCGGATCTCTCCATCGGCTGTTCCAATTTGTTGGTTGTCTCATTGGGTTCACTGCTGAAATCTTGGGGTCTGTGGAAGGATTCTCAGAGCCTCCTTTCGCTTGATGAATTCCTCTGTGTCTGCTGCAAGACCAGTGGGGTCCATGTTGGTAGTGGGGCAGAAATTGAGCCCTTGGCTGAGAACTTCGATTTCATCTGTTTGAAGGATGTAGTCAGATAAGTTGATGATGGATTTCCCTGTGGTGGTACCAGTTTCAACCATGGTTCTGGGGGAGGCTTGGATACTGCTGGTGGTGATGCCAAGTTTCTCCAGTTTCCGGTTCTTCTTGTGCATGTAGGTGGCATAGTTCCATTGTCTCAGAGCGAAGAAACTACGCCATGTTCTTCGTAGCCTTCAACATATCATCGATGACGACAAACATCTCGCCAATATCATCCCTACACCTCCACTTTCCGCCTTCAAACAACTGCCAAGCAGAGGGCAGGAAGCAGACCGTTGTTCGCAGCAAACTACCCAGCCTTCAGGACAACATAGACCACAACACCCTGCCACAACAACCTCTGCAAGACATGCCAGATCATCGACATGGACACTACCATCACATGTGGGAATACCACCCACCGTATGCACAGCAGAAACTTACGGGACTTGGCCAATGTTGTCTATCTCATACGCTGCAGCTGAGATACTCCGAGGCATGGTATATTGGCGAGACCATGCGATGCTACGACAACGGATGAATGGACACTGCACAACAATCGCCAAACAGGAATGTTCCCTGCCAGTCGGGAAACACCTCAGCGGTCAAGGACATTCAGCCTATGATCTTCAGGTAAGTGTCCTCCAAGGCGGCCTTCGAGATACACAACAACGCAGAATCGCCGAGCAGAAACAGATAGCCAAGTTCCATACCTATGAAGAAGGCCTCAACCATGATCTTCGGTTCATGATGCGCTACATGTAACCCCACCACACTTCTGTATTTGTAAAATCTTCCTTACTGTCCTGATTTGACACCACCACCTTGGTAACTTGTTATGATCTCTATACATTAATTAGTTTGTACAGTTTTGGATTACTTGTTACTTTGGTTAGACCCTCGGCATGAGACTGTTATACCTATCATGTTATTTCAGCCATTTGGTTTGTCTCCAGCACCTTTTTATTTTTTGCAATTATCTCCTCAATTAATCAGATCAGCGGTTATTCCTTCATCTGCCATTCAGCTGGTGACATTTTACTCATACAGTCCAACATTTCTGATCAACTGCAGAAACTTGTTTTTTGGCCAGTCAACACTCTACTCACACCATCTGTACAGTCTTTTGATTTCTGGGCCTATAAATTCTGTAGCTGTGTTTTTTTCTTCACTTCAACCGACAAAGGAGCAGCACTCCAAAAGCTTGTAATTTCAAGTAAACCCATTGAACTACAACCTGGTGTCATGTAACTTCTGACTGTTTTTTTTTAGTGCCAGACCATGTTAAATTTTTGCCTGCATATAACAATGTAAGTATATACGCACAAAAGCAAAATACTGTGGATGCTGGAAACTTGATATAAAAACAGACACTGCTGGGAATAGTCAGCAAATTAGCCAACCTATCACTGTTGATAGAAAGTGTTAATGCTTCAGATCGATGAAAGGATATTGCTCTGAAATGTTTTTCTCCCCCACACATGCTGCCTGGCCAACGAAGCATTTTCTGGACTGTTTTTTCTTTTATATAGACACAGTCACCAATTAAGTGAGCTAAAAGTGAAAGATTGGATACGAACTGGCATGATCAACATAAAGTAATTATTTGTCTTCTAAATGTTTAACATGAATCATATAATCTTCATCAAACCATTTGTTAGGCTCATTTGATTGTAATTCTGTAGGCTATCCATATGTCCTCTCTTATAAACTAGTAGTATGTCTGCTATTTTCTGATCCTTGAATGTCTGTCATAATGTTTTCTTAAAGTGCCAGGAAATGCATAAAAGGACACAATGTCCTTTTATGAAGTTAACTGACACACAATTCCTTATTTTCCTATAGTCATTAAGTTTAATGTCATCATCCATCAGTAAATACCCGACTGGGAATTTCTAATTGCTTAATATTTCCTACATTCCTAGAAATTCGACGTCCATTCTGACAGCACTGAGCTCTCACGTTTCCAGCATCATTGCTATAACTTGGTCACTTAATAACATGCCACCTTTGGGACCTTGAAATTTACCA